CAGCAAACTAAAAAAATTGATTTTAAAGCAATTTTGATTTTTAATCGTGCCTTAAAGTCTGAATAATATATTTTTAATAATGAATATAACCCATAAACTATTAGTTTTATATTTTGTTCTCAGTGGATACAGTGAAGCAACCCACAGTCACACCAACGCGCGGACACCAGAGTGTTTACATACGCAGTTGTTGGGAAACAGGAAACGAATATTATCGAATTTCAAGATAATCTCAGCGCATTTTTATCCAGAACTGGCGAACGAAAATAAACCTAAGAAACTACGCCATGTCTGAGAAACATTGCAGCGTGGTAGATGAATCTGAAGGTGAATTAATGACAGTATGAAAGAACAGATTATTGGGCATCTTGAATCCCTTGAAAACGAACTCCAGCGTTACTTCCCTGAGCAGATAGAAGAAGCTGCACTGGTACGAAATGCGTTCTCTTCTTTTCTTGATGCAGCCAGCAGTGAAGTACGAGATGAATACTTGGATGTGCGGAACGATTCCTCAGCACGCAACTTATATTGCGAAAAATCGCTGACTCAATTCTGGTGTGCTACGTATCAGTCATATTCAAATGTCACCATGCTTGGGTTTCGAGTTTTACTCCCGTTTTCTACTATATATCTCTGTAAGAATGAATTTTTAACGCTTCTTCATTTGAAAAGCAAAACAAGAAACAGATTAAATGTTGGGAACGACGAGGTTGGCATTAACGAAAACTCAACCGCGAATTTTGAACACTGTTAACGAGCTACAATTTCAATTATCGCATTAAATATGTCGTAAGTAAAAAGCATATTGAATTATATTAAACTGAAAAATCTATTTTCAGTGTTTCCTTTTTCCTTATTATTAAAAAGCCTTTTTCTTAATGTATCAGGGTCGCGGGCCACTATGCCTGCATAAAATGAGGTCGCGACTCGAAAAAAGTTCAGAACCTATGCTCTAAGCAATGTATTATAAAAAATCACTAGATGCGGAATGGGAGTTATTGCTTGTCGCGTTAGCAACATGCGTTGGCCAAAAAAAAGTTTATTGGACAGCTGCTGCCAGCATCGCGAAAATCAAGAACACTGAACAGCTGTGACGTACAGAATAATACGGGTGTGATT